AGAAGAAGTCGAAAATGTAAATTGTTTACGGACGCACGACGGACGACGGACGACGACGGACAAAAGGCGATCGCAATAGGTCACTTGAGACTTTGTCTCAGGTGACCTAAAAATGTGAAGTGTTTTCTTTTTCAAGAGGAGAGACACTACTTTGAATTCTGATTTGTGCAGAAACTTTTGTCCAAATTAATTTAGAAATACCTTCAAAACAATCATTTTCAAACATTTAATTGAATATGAATTAGGGCTGTCACAATATATCGGAAAACAGGTATATCCCAATACACAGTTTTATTACATACTTACTAATAAATACGGGTTTTTTGTATATGCGATACGACACAATTGCTCTAACCCATATCAGCCCTCGCCATATCACACCCCAAAACCCGTATCAGCCCCCGCCGTATCACACCCCAAAACCCATATCAGCCCGCAAAACCCATATCACACCCCATTTGGAAAAAAAATCGTTTTTCAATATTCCAAAAATTAAAATAAATCATAAGATAGTAGTTTTTATTAGTAAGTATGTAATAAACAGAATAAAACACGCCTTTTTCCATATCACACCCAGTATCAACCCTCGATCAATATCAGCCTGGGGGCCTTCGGCCCTTGGGCTGATATTGCAGTCTCGGGGTGATACTGGGTGTGATATGGAAAAAGGCATGTATTATTCTCTATATATCGTATTGTACTACAATACAGAGATGCAATATTGCTGTATCGCAATATTTTTTTAAAAGCTTATTTTTATTTTTATCATTCTGCTTGGTGATTTAACTTTGCAAATTACTACAAATTATAACAGATATATGCAAATAAGCATAAAACAGGCTTTTAATAATGGTAGGAAATTAGTTAAGATTTTGTAATCGATGGTTGGTTTGACAAACATCTTAAATCTATGTGATCCATATTATATATGATGAAGTTTGATAACATTCTGACAACTTATCATAAAATCGAGCACATCTTTCCTATGACAATATATCGGGATACATATCGCAATACATTCAATCTGTATTGCAATATATCGTGATACACTTTTGTCGTATTGCGACACCCCTAATATGAATAAACATTAATTTGCAAATTCATTATTGGCCATTAACTGTTCATATACTATTTAACATCGTGATAGCATACGTATACTCTGAAGCATATTTGTTTAATGATGTAAATGCATGTCACTTCACAACATTAGGGTAATGATCAAGATTCAACTCATTCACACCTGAAGACACATTTGAACTCTTCCAATTGAAAGGCTGGATTAGTTTATTATGAAATTTCGGGGTGAATGATGAGTTAACTAGTTAAAAGATTATGCATTTGTTTTAATACATTTGAATCTTTTGTATGATTGTTACTATAGTGATACCAGTAAAATTCATCCAACTATCGGCATAAAAAAAGAAAAAGAAAAAGGGTAAAATAAAAGAACACATATTTAAAAAAAATAAAAATATGCATGGCTGATAGTGTCACATATTGCATAACGCAAACCAAATGTTACACAGATATTTGCTTTGCATTTGGCAGTTTTATACTGAAGAGAATATTTTCTCTCTTTTAAAATGAACCAAAGAATGGGTATGTTTACAATATCATTATTGAATCAAAGTGGTTCTTCCTGTGGATTTTGAAGACAGCTGGTCTTGTGGCTTTTTCTCCAGTGTTCTTTCTGACATGCCTCACTGCAGTACCTTGAAAGTCTACAAGCACCACAATATCGAAACTGTTTGTCAACCCCTTCTGTGTACTGTTTGCGGCAGGCTGGGGAAGAACAGAAAATCAGATCTTTAGCAAATTCAAAACCATTTTCTAATTCCTCCTTTAATATCACTTTGGGTTTCCAGGTCTCGGCCATTTCCTCAGCTTCGTATTCGTCAGTCACAACACCGATAATGGATTCATGGTTGTCTAATATCTTGTACATATCTGGTAGTTCATGATCTTTTATCTCCTTCTTCAGCTTTGTGCAATAGTCTTTCAGTACTCGGAGGGCTGGAGAATTCTTAATAATTCTTCGTGTCTTGGGAGTTCCATGAACAGCCATAACATACATTAATTCTGAACAATAAGCAACTGCATGAAGGGAATGTATCCCAACACTGGAAAAGCGGCATTTTATCTGAGCTTGAAAGTCCATTAGTATTCTGTTATTCATGTAGATTTCTACAAGTTCTCCTCTTCCAACTATCAGCAGGCGATACATTCCGATTAGCCCTTCTCTAACCAGGGAGGGATCTTCTTTCTGTCTCAGTGCTTTAAAGAACACAGGGATTAGTTGTCCTTTATACGTCAGCTGTCGTTTGATAACTGCAACATTAACCTGCAACTGAACAAACAGCTGCATGAGACAAAACAGATTTGAATATGTATGGCACTTACAGGACGCTTTCTCATTTAGGATAAGAGTTCTCACAAAATAGTCGACAGACATTTCTCCAAGACACTGCAACACTTTCCAGTAATTCAGTTCATGCTTAGATTTCATACTGGTTTTCATTTTTTGAAGAGTTTCGTGCACATCAAGTAGGGATGAGTATTCCAGATTCTTTAAATTCTTCACAATGTTCATGACATAATCTTCTATTGTACGTGTTGAACCAGTCAATGACGGCTCAGCTTTAATGCCTTTTGCCTGAAAAAAAAACCTCATATAAAGACATACTGATTATTTTTTCAGAAAATCTGGTCACTCTCTGAATACTTCTTCATTTTAATTGTAACTTGTGTTTTGACATGCCAAAATGTAACCTTTCCAATTTTTCTTGAATGATCACCTGTTATCTGATCATGAGAAATTGGGGATATCTATGTAGGTGCGTCTGTCTGTCAAGCATGGTTTTTCCATGGAGTAACAAGTTTATCAGTTTTTTTCCGCCTGATATGAATGTACACAATCAATTTAGTTCAAACTAAACCATGTGTAGAACAGTTATTTCAAGGAAGCAAATAAAACAATTGTAAGATAGAAGATATAGCCACAGATACTACTCAATTTCTAGCTCCAGGGGATTGGTTAAATCGGCCCACGGTAATATCGGCCAGGCCAATTTTACTCAAGTGAAATCGGCCCTACTATGTATCTATACATGTTAAATACATGGGAAATATACATTTATCATTACAATTATATTTAAATAAATATATAAAAGGATTTATTTAATTACGTACTGGTGTTATTTTGTTTTTATTGCCTTACACAAACAATGATGTTGTCAATTGAACAACGATCAATCCACTTTGCACCTAATCATCATGAGCGACAACTGTTGTGACCTTGTGATGAGGCCGAGGCAGTATTAATTATGTCTGGTCTATATGTAAGTATTTTGACGAGGCAGCATGTGTTGCAGTGCTACGGATGTAGCAGATGGCAACACAGGACATGTGATACTGGTATGTAATTCAAATATATTTTCCATTTATGGCCGAAAATAGGGTTTCATTTAATACAAAATACGAGAATTTCCACATGAAAGGGACCTGAAAGTTTGTTACAGCTATATTTGGACCTAAACTATAAGGTGTTCAGAGTAATTTTAAATATAAGCATAATAATAATAATGCAAAATTAGTCTAAACACCAAACATGTAAAATTACTCTGCACACCTTAGTTTAGGTCCCAATATATATAGCTGTAACAAATTATCAGGTCGCTGTGGATATAGCCGCTTTATGTCTGGTCTAGATTTTGCAATCCAACTTATATAATAATTAGCATGGCATTATATGCTCAGTTGGATTAATGCAATATTTCAATACAAGTAGAATAATATATATATATTTCGCACCAAACTTACAGTACCCTAGCTAGCTTGAATTTAGGTGTAAAAATTGCTAACAATTTTGCCGATAGTAACGCATCCAAGTCCTACATATTGCTATGATGATGTATTTCACTTACTGTCACTCATATGTTGATTGTAAACGACAATATACGTATATTTTAACACACCGCATAGCCTTTTAACCTGTTTTTTTTATCCTTTAACAAATTCTAAAAAAAAACACCCACTGCACATAACAATGCACTAGAGAACACGATCACAAACATATCCGTAATTCACCAATTGTCAGATTGAAGATTCCCCACCCATACCCGCACTCTTTACAACCTGGCAGAGTACTGCCATTCCCTTTTGCTCCGAGTTTACCATTTGCAAAATTAAACCATTTTTTTCTCCTTCCACAACCAGAACGATATTTTGCATTTTTTCACTTTTTGTATTGTGTTTACCTGTATATCCATGTTAATTAACAAGCGTGCACCATCGATATCAAAACAAAATGTCACGTGATATTTTTATAAAATGGCGGGAGATTGCAAGAAAAAATAAAACGAAACGAACGACTACTTTGAACTCTTATGTATAATTTATATGTCTCTGGTACATACTTTATAAAACACAGATCTGTTGATTTGAATATTTTGATTATTTGAATAAGCATTACATTTTGTTTTAATCGAAACATTATTAAATCGAAACAAAGCACTAGAATTCGCAGGACCATGAAAGGGAAGTAATTCCTATTATGTATTCAATAATGAGGATAGTTTGCGCAATGCACGGTGCAATCTTTAGCATTTTTAGAGAACAATAAAGCAATCTTATTCACAAAATTTAATAATAATCAATATAAATATATATAACTCACACTTATTTTTCAAGTCATTTTTTACAATTACAATACATTAACATGGCATAATGTTACACTCTCTCACACAAACAAATGCAACTACTCATTGTTTAGCATAACGTTCACCATCTTCACCATTATTTAAACTCGGGATGTGTAGTGCACCACTCCCTGTTTTAACACAATATCATCAATGATCAGTATTATTTAAACAAAACAAAAATGAGTGTATAAAATATGTCGATGAATAGTGAGATTTTTTTCAGTATTGCTCAGCTTATAAGAATTTCTAAGAAATTATGTTGTGAAATATTCAAAAAAAATAATGTATTTATATATTAATTTAAGATGAAGACATGAAAAATAGCGCCGTGATGCTTATTTTATTGATGCCAGAGTTTTCTGTGTCTCTTCTGTTCTTGCATGCTTGGCTCATTCGTTGGAATACTATATGATGATCAATTTGAAGAGAAACACACACTGCCTTTCATAAAATAATAAAAAAGGAAAAACATGTCAGTATGACCCCTCCCCCACCCCATCCCTGAAAAAAGTGACTGAGAAAAAGATCTAAGGTTTCGGACCTCATTCTCTCCACTCCTTCCCTGTCGATGATAAACCTTAATCAGTTTATATGTCCACTAGGCATCCTCAATGGAGATGTACCGTAATCAGTTTATATGTCCGCTAGGCATTTTTAATGGGGGTGTACCTTAATCAGTTTATATGCCTGCTAGGCATCCTCAATGGAAATGTACCTTAATCAGTTTATGTGCCCGCTAGGCATCATTAATAATGGTGTACTTTAATCAGTTTATATGTCCATTAGGCATCATCAATGGGGGTGTACCTTAATCAGTTTATATGCCTGCTAGGCATCCTCAATGGAAATGTACCTTAATCAGTTTATGTGCCCGCTAGGCATCATTAATAATGGTGTACTTTAATCAGTTTATATGTCTATTAGGCATCATCAATGGGGGTGTACCTTAATCAGTTTATATGCCCTCTAGGCATCCTTAATTGGGGTGTACCTTAATCAGTGTATATGCCTGTTAGGCTTCCTTAATGGGGGTGTACCTTAATCAATTTATACGCCCGCTAGGCATTATCAATGGGGTTGTACCTTAATCAGTTTATATGTCCGCTAGGCATTTTTAATGGGGGTGTACCATAATCAGTTTATATGCCCAATGGAGATGTACCTTAATCAGTACATATGCCTGAGAGGCATCCTTAATGGGGGTGTACCTTAATCAGTTCATATGTCCACTAGGCATCCTTAATGGGGGTGTACCTTAATCAGTTTATATGCCCTCTAGGCATCCTTAATTGGGGTGTACCTTAATCAGTGTATATGCCTGTTAGGCTTCCTTAATGGGGGTGTACCTTAATCAATTTATACGCCCGCTAGGCATTATCAATGGGGTTGTACCTTAATCAGTTTATATGTCCGCTAGGCGTCCTTTATAGAGGTGTACCTTAATCAGTTTATATGCCTGCTAGGCATCTTCAATGGGGGTGTTCCTTAATCAGTTTAGATGCCCGCTAGGCATCCTTAATTGGGGTGTACCTTAAACAGTGTAATGCCTGTTAGGCTTCCTTAATGGGGGTGCACCTTAATCAATTTATACGCCCGCTAGGCATTATCAATGGGCTTGTACCTTAATAAGTTTATATGTCTGCTAGGCATTGTTAATGGGGATATATCTTAATCAGTTTATACGACCGTTAGTCATCATCAATGGGGGTGTACCTTAATAAGATTATATGCCTGCTAGGCATCATCAATGGGGGTGTACTTTAATCAGTTTATATGCCCGCTAGGCATCATCAATGGGGGTGTACCTTAATCAGTTCATATGCCTGTTAGGCATCCTTAATGGGGGTGTACTTTAATCAGTTCATATGTCCACTAGGCATCATCAATGGGGGTGTTCCTTAATCAGTTTATATGCCTGCTAGGCATCCTCAATGCAGATGTACCGTAATCAGTTTATATGTCCGCTAGGCATTTTTAATGGGGGTGTACCTTAATTAGTTTATATGTCCGCTAGGCACTCTTAATGAGGGTGTACCTTAATAAGTTTATATGCCCGCTAGGCATTGTTAATGGGGATATATCTTAATCAGTTTATACGCCCGTTAGTCATCATCAATGGGTGTGTACCTTAATAAGTTTATATGCCTGCTAGGCATCATTAATGAGGGTGTACCTTAATCAGTTTATATGCCCGCTAGGCATCATCAATGGAGATGTACCTTAATCAGTTCATATGCCTGTTAGGCATCCTTAATGGGGGTGTACCTTAATCAGTTTATATGCCCGCTAGGCATCATCAATAGAGATGTATCTTAATCAGTTCATATGCCTGTTATGCATCCTTAATGGGGGTGCACCTTAATCAATTATTCGCCCGCTAGGCATTATCAATGGGGGTTGTACCTTAATCAGTTTATATGTCCGCTAGGCACCCTTAATGGGAGTGTACCTTAATCAGTTTATATGTCCGCTAGGCATAGTTAATGGGGATATATCTTAATCAGTTTATACGCCCGTTAGTCATCATCAATGGGGGTGTACCTTAATAAGTTTATATGCCTGCTAAGCATCCTTAATGGGGATGTACCTTAATCAGTTTATATGCCCAATGGGGATGTACCTTAATCAGTACATATGCCTGTTAGGCATCCTTAATGGGGGTTACCTTAATCAGTTCATATGTCCACTAGGCATCCTTAATGGGGGTGTACCTTAATCAGTTTATATGCCCGCTAGGCATTCTTAATTGGGGTGTACCTTAAACAGTGTTTATGCCTGTTAGGCTTCCTTAATGGGGGTGCACCTTAATCAATTATTCGCCCGCTAGGCATTATCAATGGGGGTTGTACCTTAATCAGTTTATATGTCCGCTAGGCGTCCTTTATAGGGGTGTACCTTAATCCATTTATATGCCCGCTAGGCATCTTCAATGGGGGTGTTCCTTAATCAGTTTATATGTCCGCTAGGCATCCTTAATTGGGGTGTACCTTAAACAGTGTATATGCCTGTTAGGCTTCCTTAATGGGGGTGCACCTTAATCAATTTATACGACCGCTAGGCATTATCAATGGGCTTGTACCTTAATCAGTTTATATGTCCGCTAGGCGTCCTTTATAGGGGTGTACCTTAATCCATTTATATGCACTCTAGCCGTCCTCAATGGGGGTGTACCTTAATCAGTTTATATGCCTCTAGGCATCATCAATGGGGGTGTATCTCAATCAGTTTATGTCCCCACTAGGCATCCTCAATGGGGGTGTACTTTAATCAGTTCAAATGCCCGCTAGGCATCCTCAATGGGGGTGTACCTTAATCCATTTATACGCACGCTAGGCGTCCTCAATGGGGGTGTACCTTAGTCAGTTTATATGCCCACTAGGTATCCTCAATGGGAGTGTACCTAAATCAGTTTATATGCCCGCTAGGCATCCTCAATGGAGATGTATCTTAATCAGTTTATATGTCCTCTAAGCATCTTTAATGGGGATGTACCTTAATCAGTTTATATGCCTTTTAGGCATCATCAATGGGGGTGTATCTCAATCAGTTTATGTCCCCGCTAGGTATCAGCAATGGGGGTATCTTAATCAGTTTATGTCCCCGCTAGGCATCCTCAAAAATCCAGGGGCCACGTTCTCTGCACACGAAGGTGAAAAGTTCGAGGAGGCCAACTCTTTCAACATTGGATTAAAATTGCTTAATAAACTTTGATATTGTCTCAGTAGTCTCATTTATTGTTATTTTTCTAGAATCAATTTTTATAATTGATTAACATGCAGCTATGGATAATAAATAAGTCACGCCAATTAAAAACTTGTTGGGATTGCAGAGGGAAAGAATACACCCAACAATTTATAGAAAAAAATCGAAGATTTACATGAAATATAAAGGCTGTAAAAGAAATGGGGACGTACATATATAGAAAGTGTGAATTTATATGTACAGGGTTAAAAAGTAGCATTATACGTGAACGTATACTATTACATTAATTTTTCAGACCGTAAGAAATCAGGGAATTTTCAATGGTTCCATGTCTCATATTCTGTATGACAGAATGATATAGTCTAAATCTAAATCCTGGGGGTTAGATACAAGCATTGATACTTTGCGATGGAACACGTTATTTCAATTCTGAGATGTAGTTGTTGGAAATGGAGACTTTTGCTACCTGGAATTTTCAGTAAGATTTTTCTTTCCTTTAACTGTATCTGATGTGGAGAAGGGGAGGCAACTGTATTCTTAATTTGCTCTATGATACATATTTGGTTGGCGTGAAACATGGAGGTGACACTTCAATAACACGGAGGTAGCTAACTTTAGATATATGTAAATAACGACCAATTGTTACAGAGTGAAATAAGCCAAAAAGGGCTGTACATATCAAATATTTATTGTATTGTTGCAGTAAACTGGATATTGTGAACTAACGGTACTGTTCATTGTGAATTTATAAAAACTGGTAATTGTGAACAGTTAACTTTTCTTTGTGAACTAATAGTTTACTAAATGAGTGTTTGGGGAAAAGTAAGTAAAGCATGGATATATTTGGCTTAGTATACTATACAGTGTGGAGTTGTCATAAGGTACCCTGTAGCGAACCACATAGTACATAGACTTGCACAGCCATTTGATATGACTTACGCTGGTGCTTGTTAAAA